GAAAAACAGTATGGCAGTTCCTCAAAAAACTAAAAATAGAACTACCCGACAACCCAGCAATTGCACTACTAGGCATTTATCCAAGGGATACAGGTGTGCTATTTCAAAGGGACACATGCATCCCCATGTTTATAGCAGCACTATCAACAATAACCAAAGTATGGAAAGAGCCTAAATGTCCATCGATGGATGAATGGATAAAGAAGAGGTGGTATATATACAATGGAGTATTACTCAGCAATCAAAAAGAATGAAATCTTGCCATTTGCGACTACGTGGATGGAACTGGAGGGTATTATGCTAAGTGAAATGAGTCAGTCAGAGACAAAAATGACTTCACTCATATGAGGACTTTAAGAGACAAAACAGATGAACATAAGGGAAGGGAAACAAAAATAATATAAAAACAGGGAGGGGGACAAAAACAGACTCATAAATATGGAGAACAAACTGAGGGCTACTGGAGGGGTTGAGGGAGGGGGGATGGGCTAAATGGGTAAGGGGCACTAAGGAATCTACTCCTGAAATCATTGTTTCACTATATGCTAGTTAATTTGGATGTAAATTTACAAAAATAAAAAATAAGTTAAAATTTAAAAAATACAATAATGTATTTATGCTTAATTATGTGTAGATGTATACTTTAATTCCATATTAAGGGCAATTAAGGAGTGTGGAGAGAGAGGAAGAAAAAGGAAAAAAAATAAATTATTTATGTCACCACTTATAATTCTTTTTGTCAGGAGGAGGAGCATACATAAATTAAAAATTAAATACTACCTATATCACTCTGGGACACGTTGTAGAGTGTGTAAAGTATAAATACCACTTGGAATGTGGTATCTCATTTAAGTAATCAACCCCATTAGGTTGGGCCTTATCTTCCCATTTGACAGTTAAGGAAACTAAAGTTTAGAGAAGATAAATGATTTGCCCAAGATTCTACAGGTTTTCAGTAGGTTGAAAATGATAACTCTTGGTTTTCAATGTGTTCCACATCTCTCCATATAAAAACTATGTGTGAACTGCTATTTTCTTCACCTCCAAAGTCTCCTTGACTCAATAAATATAGTTGATATATAAAGCATTGTATTAGGTGGTTAGCAAAAAAGATATAAATGGTTCAGGCTATACCTCACAGACTGTACATTGTATTGACCTAGTTAAGAACTTCATTCTTTGCAACACCATTAAACCTATTGCCAACAAAGGGTTTTAAACTGGAGTCCGGGATGTTGTCTGCTTTGTATGTTGTCTACTTTGGCCTCTAGAACAATCTTCCATAAAAAGCTCTGCTCTGCAACCATGCAGCATCCCATGGGTATAACACAAAATGGTAAATAGTCAAAGGACTGGTTGTAAGATCAGGTTTTTCTTTTTCTTTTTTTTTTTTTTTAAACGTTTATTTATTTTTGGGACAGAGAGAGACAGAGCATGAACGGGGGAGGGGCAGAGAGAGAGGGAGACACAGAATCGGAAACAGGCTCCAGGCTCTGAGCCATCAGCCCAGACCAGAGCCTGACGTGGGGCTCGAACTCACGGACCGCGAGATCGTGACCTGGCTGAAGTCGGATGCTTAACCGACTGCGCCACCCAGGCGCCCCAGATCAGGTTTTTCTTTAATGGCTCTGAACTCGCAGTCTTGCTTCAGAGGGTCAGTTACAGGCATCATCCTCACGGCACCATGGGTGGGCAGACACATTGTTCAACCCCAGGTCCCAGCTGATGGGATGTTAAGAGTTCTCTGGGGGCACCTGGGTGGCTCAGTCAGTTGAGCGACCGACTTTGGCTCAGGTCATGATCTCATGGTTTGTGAGTTCGAGCCCCGCATTGGGCTCTGTGCTGACAGCTCAGAGCCTGGAGCTTTCTTCTGATTCTGTGTCTCCCTCTCTCTCTGCCCCTCCCCCATTCATGCTCTGTTTCTCTCTGTCTCAGAAATAAACATTAAAAAAAATTAAAAAAAAAAAAAAAGAGTTCTCTTGCCCCTTTCCCTGGGTTGATCCCACTGGAAGACTTTAAAGACCATGGGCCATGTGATTTTAAAATTTATGGAGCAAGACGGTTAGTTTTGAAGTTAATGTTTCTTTCTTGTTTAATAGTTTTCACAGTGCACAGACAGAATAAGAGACCTGGAGAAACAGCTTATAAATCCTGAGGGTGAGAACAGAACCCGCTTCATTCCAGGGAAAGATATGACCCAAGAAGAAATGATCAAAAAATTAGATTCGGTAAGCATTCCTCTGACAGTAGTACCTACTAGCCCCTTGTTGATCAGTGTCACAGATATCGGTGGTGCTATTTCCATCTTATGCAGACAGATTTATCCCTCACAATTCTAGCCACTAACAATTGTGTCATTATAATCCCTTAACAAAACCTAAGCTTGTTTCAAATGCTTGCCAAAAAGAAGTAAAACCTGTGTGGTTTCGAGATGCCCACTTTTGTCTCATAGCCCAAAGGAACAATTTTGGCATCTTTAGTGGATTAATTGGTCTTCCTGAAGGGAGAGTATCAGAGGAATGACAACAGGAAGCTAAATGGAGTTGAGAGGGCTGCCCCCTACCTTGGGAAGGAAGAACTCCCAGAGCTGCCTGCAGGGGGCTGGGAGCAAGGAGAGTCTTGACTTAGACCAGTGCTAAAGACTTTTCCAGAGCTATCTTGGCAACTATATAAAAGCAATCTGTTTTCATTAAGGGGAAAAAAATAGGGCTCTAATTAAGAAAGAATATTTTTGGGTGCCTGGGTGGCTCAGTAAGTTAAGTGGTCTACTTCGGCTCAGGTCATGATTTCACAGTTCATGAGTTCAAGCCCTGCATCAGGCTCAGAGCCTGGAGCCTGCTTCTGATTCTGTGTCTCCCTCTCCCTCTGCCCCTCCCCAGCTTGTGCTCTGTCTCTGGGTCTCTCAAAAATAAACAAACATTTAAAAAAAATTTTTTTAAAAAGAAAGAAGAATTTGAATTACATGACTTTGTTTTTTCCTTTTTACTGAAATTGTTTTCAACTATAGCTGGAACTACAGCTGGCCAAGAAGGAAGAGAAGTTACTGGAGAAGGACTTCATCTATGAACAGGTCTCCCGGCTCACAGACAGGCTCTGCAGCAAAACTCAGGCCTGCAAACAGGACACTCTGCTCTTAGCCAAGAAGGTCTGCCTGAGACCCTGCCTTCTCCCTCCTGCCCTTACTCCTTTATTACCTGTCATTTTGCACAGTCTGCTTTATTTATCGAGAGCAGCACTGAAGAGATTTGGCTTTATGACTAGAGAAACATAAAGATGTAAAATTAAAAAGGTAAAGAGGACTTTTAGAGAATTGTCCAAAATGGGTTTCAATCTTGTCCCCTGAATGAATTGTTTTGTACTGGGAAAACTTAAGCTTTTTGATGACAGTTTGCACGTTTCCCTGAACAGGCCACCTACTCCAACTATGACAATTATACCTTTATATTTCATGTGCCAACTTAAATCCTTTCTAGTTCCTTGTGATTAGAGGGCCTCACTTACCCAGCGGTCTGCACAAAAACAGCCCTAATCCAGAACCCAGCCAGAACCCAGAAATGGATGGGACCATTAAAGAGAACAGCAGTCAGTCACACAACACCCATGCCTGTTAGTCCTTGGGATGAAGCCACTATAGGGCCACACTAGTGAGGAAAGACCAGTCATGTGGAGCTTCCTGATTTCTTAAGTTTCAAATATGAGGACTGCTGATTCAAAGCTCCAGGGTCAGGCTGGGACTGCTAGAGCTGCGCTGAAAGGGGCCACCAGCAGGAGGGAGGCTGGTGAGTTAGGTGAGGCAGGACCTGGCACCGTAGGACAGTCAGAGGAGCTGCTGCTCACCCGACCTCTGGGCCCCTTGGAGCATCTGCTGTGACAGCCCAGGGATTTTAGTTACTGAACCTGCTGCGTGCTCCCTTGATGCCAGGTGTGAGGGCAGGAACAAAGAGGAATGGACGCATTGTCCACACCTAGTGCTGGCAGACAGGTAAACAGCCCATGACGGTGGGCTCCTGAGCGCAGTGGCTGTTCCTCGTCCTTAATTTCCCCAATGGCCAGCGTGTACTAAACTCAAGAGAAAAAAATTATTGAGTAAGTGAAGTCAGTCCCATTCTAGAAAGTTCTCGCTCACCAAAGAAACAGAAAATCACTGTTAAACCTCAAGCCTCCTTTGCCATTTTTATTTGGCATTTACACACCTGCTCTGATGACTTTCACTAATAGACTTCCACATCAGACCCATGTTTCATGGGCAATTCACGACTTTACCTCATCAAATAAGAAATGCTAAGACTCTTTTAGGCTCATGAACTTTGCCTGAATTAGCATGCCCGATGTTTCTTTAAATGTTGCCTTCCTTCCTTTTGCAAAATGAATTTCCCTTTCTTTAGGGGAAGTCCAGTCATCACTGAGGGCTGGCTTGTCAAATCTGTTGGCAGTCCGGAAGTCAGCTGTAATGCTAGAGAAATGCAAATGGTGACAACTGCTACCCGGGATCCAGCAAGCGGAGTCCTAGCCTACTGCTTTATCTTCCGGCACCTTTCCCCACCTTCAGTGCTATCTACTTGGCTTTTTCTCTTTTTATTTAAAATTAGGATTTCCTTATAGTAGGCAGAACTAGAAGGTAGAAAGGTTCAGACCCCAGATCTGTGATTTACCAATACAAGGGAGTGACCCTGAGAAAGATACATAAATGATCTTAAAATGAAGTTTCTTGATCTGTGAAATGGGTGTTGATATCAGCTTAAGTTGTTGCAAGCATTGGGTAGTTGAGAAGTGGTCTAGCTCCTTGCAGGAACTCAATGAGAATGCACATCTCAAATCTCTCACCTTTCCCAGGTAGCTTATGGCTCCACTTGCAAATTTCCCAAATGAACAGAAAATGGGAAATCCCAAACAAAGACTTAGAGCAACCCGGAATAATACCATTCTTTTTTGGAGGAGATAAGGAGGTTGGCTAGCTTTACACACATACACACAACATTCAAGTGTACCATAACTGATTAATGAAATTTAAGATGACTCACCATTGAAGCTTTAAAAAGTAGTTGCTTTTATTCACTGTATGCTTCTTAAAATATAGAACAGTTTTTAAAATGTATATTCCCTATTTCTTTAAAGAGAAAAAATGTGTATATAACAATTAGACATTATATTTTCAGAGGAAGGCAAATCACAAACAGCAACATTTCTCTAAGCAAATGTACAGATAGATCAGTGTCCGCTCTATTAGGAGAATAAAGTATTTCAAGGTCCAGTGTAGATTTTGGAAGCTCATATTCAGGTCCCAGTGTACCTTTATTCAAAGGACTGAAGGATTAAAATAGAATAGAATAGAATTTATTAATTCCTTCATTCAGCAAAATTTCAGTTTTAATTTTGTTGGGTGCCTATGTTCCACTTAGTCCTATCTTTTAATTCTTTGGTGGTAACTAGCTGATGTGAAATGGTAAACATACCCATAGAACAAGAAACATTTCATTTCAAATTATTGACCAGATTTTCCCCAGTTCAACTCATGCTTGCTTATGACCTAATAATGATGCATCCCAGGAATTATGATCAATAATGCAACCACATTGAGGTATGATATTTTCCATTAAAAATTATTTCAGAATACAGGACCTCTGCTGATTATCTCGTATAATTAAAGAGTAATTTTTAAATGTGGTTTTTTTTTCTACCAGATTTTTTTCCACTGGATAGGTGACAAATTAAAGACATGGCAAAACTAGGCCAGAACTTACACATCAACAATACCCTTTCCCTTCTCCTTATCACCTCTTAAAAATAAAGGGACTATTTCCCTCCATGCTATCCACTTGGAACTCCAGTAAGTAGATGAACAGACTGGTTTCTTTTCCCTCCTGTCTTTATTTACCCAGGACCAGGCTCTCTCCAGGTGTGGAGGTGAGTGTGTGTGCCTGTGTGTGAGAGGAGGGCCTTATTTACACAGCCAGGGAATTGGGCTCAATCTCTGAGATCTCTTCCAATTCTTATTTTCTCTGAATTCCCACTTAAACTCTCTGTCCTCCAGCCAAGACTTCCCCCCACCATTCTAGACAGCCAGCAGCCTGACATTTTCTTAATGTATACATAGTCTAAACCTTGGGCTCTTTCATTCTAGATGAACGGCTACCGGAAAAAGATCAAAGATGCCACAGAAAAAATGATGGCTCTTGTTGCTGAGCTTTCCATGAAACAGGCTCTGGCCATTGAACTCCAAAAGGAAGTCATGGATAAAGAAGATTTCATCTTCTCCTGCAATTCCAGGATAGAAAAGGGTCTGCCACTCAATAAAGACATTGAAAGAGAATGGCTGAAGGTACTTCGAGATGAAGAAATGTATGCTTTGGCCATCGCTGAAAAATCTCAGGTAAGCTTTGTCTTCTATATCGCATTTGTCCAGTGTGGCAGGAAGGGCTATTTTCAGGGATTTCAGTCTTCCCAAAATATATAAAAAACCTCCCACTCTAGCACACACCTAGTTCCAACAAGCAGTAGAAAGGAGTTTTGTTTTTATTAAGATATGATATAGGGGACAAGTCAAAATAACATCCCAAGTGCGGTAATATTCTCCAGAAAACATTCATCAAGCACCAAGCCCACCCCCCTCCCCAGTCTTACATCCTGGGCTAGTGTGGCTGAACACCATAGATTCCCACCGGCAGGACAGTGGCCAGGCTGGCACTGGTTTTATCCACAGGGCTTTATGTCCTTGCACCCCTGCTCAGGCTACACCTTACTTTCCCATGTCTGGCCACTGGGGCCACCAAGGTAGATTGGGAATGTTGTCACGGCCTTCTGCAGACTATGCACTTGGTGGCATCAAAGGCTTCAAGGCCACAGCTTTCTTCTCCAACCACTGACCTAAATCTAGGTCTATCACTGGACCTACACATCGGGTGCCGAGTTCTGCCTACTCCCATGACCTTCTAATATTCTTAAAATGGCATTAAGGATCTCTTTTTAAGAAGACTACATTCTGGGGACCTACAGCTCACTCTCAGACTGGCAAGTAGATATCCCCCAAAGGATCACTATTCACTCCCTATCCCAAGAAGACATGCCTTCCAAACACACACTAGAAATGCCTGAAAATAGGGTCAGATTTGTAATTTCCACACTGCCTGGGACTCTATTTTTTAGGGCATTCATTTTTATCTATGACGTCCCAGCTGTCATTTACCTGTCCCCATTATTTAGAGTTCTTTTTTAATGCTGTAAGAAATTCCTCTATTCTTCAGAAGCACAGGCAGAATCTTGAGGACCCTGAGATTCAAAGCAAGGTGCTGACCACTTCTGTCCTCTGGTTCTACTTCACTCCTTATTTCCCTCTTTGTTAACATTTGCTCACCAATGACTTACTCCAGCCTTTTTCAAAACCATGGAAATAGTGTGTAATGAAAGCTATTAAAGCTGGAATATAGTGAATTTAAAACCCACTAACCAGTTTATGATAAACCCTAAACCCCAGCAACAGAGTGATACTTGGGTAACATGGGTCATTCCAATTAGATGCTGTGTGTGTGTGTGTGTGTGTGTGTGTGTGTGTGTGTGTGTGTGTTTAGCGACTCCACCCTCATACCCATCTGTCCCTTTGGGGGAATATCAGTCAACACAGCCTAAGACTGCTCAGACCCAGCTGTGTCTGCTGGGCCCTGAGGATGAACTGGCTTCACTATAGTTTTCAGGAAACTCAAAAGGAAAAATCATTCTTTGCAGGAGTTCTTGGCGGCAGATATTCGCCAGCTACCCAACGGTGTTTACACAACTGCAGAGCCACGTCCAAATGCCTATATCCCAGAGGCAGAGGCCGCTCTTCCCTTGCCAAAACCATATGGCGCTTTGGCTCCTTTTAAGCCCAGTGAACCTGGGGCCAATATGAGGCACATAAGAAAACCTGTTATAAAGCCAATTGAAATCTGAGTATGTGAACCAATCCAGGCTTCTCAACGAGAGACACTTGAATCAGGTTTCCTCATATCCACAGCTGGAAAATATCAGCATAAGAGTTCTAACGTACAAATTATTGCAAAATATTGCAATTGACCACCAGTGGAGAACAACATGGCTTCCTTTTACACTCATCAACTACTATATTTTACATGATGTTAAGTAGGACACAGAATTGTCCTACAGTTATGGCAAGGCATATATCTGCAGTGTTTATTTTTTTTCTTTTTCACTCTATATATTGACTACCTTTCAGAAATGTATAGTCCAGGGGCTATAAAAATGCAAGAAAAATAAATCAAATTTCAGTGACGTACAGAAATTGGCAGAGTGGTCTCTGTTTATTAAAGAAGAAGAAAATGGGGTGCCAGGGTGGCTCAGTAGGTTAAGCATCTGACTTTCGGTTCAAGTCATGATCTTGCAGTTCATGGGTTTGAGCCCTGCGTTGGCTCTGTGCTGATAGCTCAGAGCCTGGAGCCCGCTTCAGATTCTGTGACTCCCTTGCTCTCTACCCCTCCCCTACATGTACTCTGTCTCTGTCTCTCTCTCTCTCTCAAAAACAGACATTTAAAAAAATTTAAAGAAGAAAAACACAAATACTATTCAATATATTCACTTGAAAGGGAAAGACAGAATGATTGTTTAAAAAGGAAAACATCCCAAATAACACAGGGGTATAATTCACTTTGTTAAATAGTTGTATTTGAAATTATTGTGGTAAATGTAAATCAAATAAAAAGCAGTAAGGAGACTTGTCCTTTTTAAAGTATATTATGGTAATTCTTTTTACAAATAAAGAATCCTTTTGCTATAAAAATTTATCTTATAAATCTAGATTTTTTACAATGTTATATACAAATAAACCTGTGATTATTTTAAGTTCTGACTCCAGATTCTTAAAAATTCCAAGGAAAACATTTATAGCTTTGCATGTGACAGAATTGAAAATAAGGCCAATTCCACTTATTTCATTACTCTAATTTTATTGCATTTCACCCACGTATATTTTCCTAATTCCGTTTTTATATTTTCTCATGTATGAAAATACACAAGTAAATTTGAAAACTGATTTCACTTCATATATTCAAGCTGTATTTCATATTGGTATCAGGTATGGATTTTGTGTCATAATTCTGGGAGTAAGAAATACCACTTTTTCCTCTCCTCTCCTCTCCCCACCTCTCCCCTCTCCTCCCCTTCCTTCCTTCCTTCTTCCTTTCTCTCTCTACCCCCCTCCCTCCCTCCTTCCATCCCTCCTTCCTTCATTTGATTTTTGCTAAATCAAACAAAATATTTTGCAAACCCACATCCTGCCAGACCGGAAGGAAATTTAATCTCATTCTCAGCCTACAAGTCAGTCCTGAATCTAACTGGATGGTTTGGAAAGTTATTAAGAAGTAAAGTGTCTATGATAAGTAACACTGTGTGGTTAACACGAAGAAATACTGTATACTTAAACACAAATCCTGTGTTGTAGTAATTAGTAATTGCATTAGGGATCCAAAAAATATACATGTAGGAACAATATAAGAATGGAAACATAATTTGTAACACAAAGGGATGGATGTTTAAATATTACAGGTGTGCTACTGGCTAAGAGGGGGAGGGTGCCACTGTGTGCTGGAATGGCCAGGGATCACAGTCAGATGGAACTTTTTATCTGGCCCTTAAACATAATTAAGATTTTAATAAGTGAGGAGGGGATTCCAAGTGGGGGGAAAAGCCTAAGCAAAGTTTGGAAGTAAGAAGACAAAAGCTGAATTCAAGGCCCAGCGAACTGGCCCGGCTAGAACAGCATGTTCACGTTGGGGAATTGTGTAAGAGCCACAGGGAGTTTGGATCCTATCCTGTAATGAATGGCAAATCATTGAAAGGCTAGGAGCAGGACCAGTTTCAGCGTAAGTCTGAGGAATCAGACTTTAGAAAGACACCAAAACGCAAGTGTGAAAAAGAAAAGGGTAGGGAGTGAAAACCAATGACCTTCTCAAGAGAAAAAAAAGTCTAACATGCTGACAAGGCCCCCAGATTTGCAGCCTCTGTGATGATTAAATATGTGACCAAAAAGGGAAATTCTGTAGTGGAGGACAATATTTGGAACACAACTATGATTTCAGAAAAGAAGTTGAATTATGACACCAGCTAGTGATAATTACAACCGTTAAAATTTCACAAGATCACTGCAGGAAACAGGGTGAAGAGAAAAAAGCAAAGGGTAGACTGACCTCGGGCAAGCAACTACCATTATAGATCAGAATGTAGTCACTGTAAGAGAGAGAGGGAAGAAAAAAGAAAAATAGGAGAACTAGTTAGGTGTCATGGGGGCCTCTCAGGGAACATACTCACAGACTCATGATTCCTGGCTGGGATAAAAAGGCCATGTTGAGAAAATGAAAGAGGCCAAAACCTTCAGTGTTTCTTATTTTAATGGCAAGATATTACTAAATCAAACTTTTATAAATACAAAAAAAAAAAAAAAAGAACTTTAACATATACATACAGTTCCATCTGAACCATTATAAAAACAAATCCTACTCTAAATACTGGATGTACACACTGCCGTATGTTACAAATTATTCTATTCTAGAAATAGCAGATTTGACCTGGTCCAAATTCAGCTCTTTAAAAAGTATCCTCTTTCCAAATACAGTTCTTATGTAACATTTAATTTTTCTGCTTGTCCTATGTTGTTTTCAACGACACATCTAGTTTCTGTTTTTCTACACACTGTTCCCTACATTTTTTTAAAGCATATTTTATTTCAGAGTGCAACAGAAACTAGCTTTTGGCCTAGGAAGCCATTAGGAAGGTAAGCCACTAGGGAAGAGCATCACTGATGACACTGCGTGCCTCCTGGGACTGTCGGTCACTGACCTCTTGTCTGCTGTCCAAAACTGGGATGAGGCACAGCAGTTTGATTCTGTCTCAACAAGTACCAGACTGAAAGTCAGACGGCTTGACAATGCATTCTGACTTTGGTTACCAATTTTAAATATTGGTCAAGGATTCCTGACAGAGGTCAAGCTAATGAGCAAGATTAAACTATTGGAGGCGGGTATAATTGCATTCTCTCTTTTACAAGCCTAAAAGCATCATGGTGTGTTTCAGAGCTGCTTCCTCTACAAATTTTGCGTCCACATTGTCATGTCCTTCAAAAGCATACAGGGCTGGGAAAAAAACAAAAAGAGAGAGAGAGAAAGAGAGAGAGGAGAAAAGAGTTACTATGAAGCCATGGAACTTCTATAACATTGTGCTCACAGCTCGTTGAAATTGTAATTCTTTTATATTTTGGCAATACACATTATTCTGAAAATGTGTGGTTAAAATTTATCAAACCTCAGCCCTAAGCAAGTTCATTTGCAGCAACCAAATAGGTTTTGAATCTCTTAAATCCTTTTAAAACCTCAAAGGTGATTATCCCTTTGGTAATTTACTCTAAGAACTAAATTGTACATTACAAACTAAGACCAACTGCAGAAAGGACTAAGTTGTAAGTAAGGGGTATTCTGGAAAGAAAAGGCTACACAGAAATGAATAGGGACTGATGTGTCAAGAGAACAGCAGGGAAATGCTAAGAGTGGAGGAGTGAAATTACCTTGATTGGAGGATTCTATGTCTGTCAGTATTTCAACGAAGTAGTTCAGAGGCAGAAATTCCACACTGAATGACGACTTGTGAATCACGGAACTTGGGGGCTAAAAGAGAAACCACTTCTGGTATCAGTTGAATCTCCCCAACATGCACAAACTTACAAAAAGGGCACAGAATGACAATTGCTGCCTATATGGATACATTGAAGTGGGCAGACAGGCTCCAAAGAACATTTAGTGGGGCTGTGCTTTCCCACGGACTCACCTTTTTCTTATAGTTCTGCAGCAGTCTCTTCACGTGGTTCCGGGAAATAATGTTAGAGCTCATAGGATGATCCCAAAGTCGACAGATCTTCTGACCAATAAGCTTTTATGCAAATTGAAAAATATGTAGAGGGGGAGTTTTAGGGCAGTGGAAACACTGTATGATACTATAATGATGAACCCATTGCATCATACACTTGTCCAAACTCACAGAATGAACAACACCAAGAGTGAACCCTAATGTTAACTATGGACTTTGGGTGATTGTGATGTGTCAGTTAGGTTCATCAGTTGTAACAAATGGACCCCTCTGGTGGGGGATGTTGATAATGAGGGAGGCTATGCGCATGTAGGGGCAGAGGGCATATGGTGAATCTCTGCACCTTCCACTCAATTTTCCTGTGAACCTAAAACTACTCTAAAAAAATTAAGTCAATAACAATAAAAGAACGGAAAAAATATAGAGACGAGAATATAGCTTACAGTGCATTAAGTAAATGTATCTTGTATCTATTTATAATTTTAAAAGAATGGGGGCGCCTGGGTGGCTCAGTTGGTTAAGCGGCCGACTTCGGCTCAGGTCATGATCTCGCAGTCCGTGAGTTCGAGCCCCGCGTCGGGCTCTGTGCTGACAGCTCAGAGCCTGGAGCCTGTTTCAGATTCTGTGTCTCCCTCTCTCTGACCCTCCCCCGTTCATGCTTTGTCTCTCTCTGTCTCAAAAATAAATAAACGTTAAAAAAATTTTTTTAAAAATAATAATTTAAAAAGAATTATTCAAAAGTAGCTAGTCTCGGGTGCCTGGGTGGCTTAGTTGGTTAAGCATCCAACTTCAGCTCAGGTCATGATCTTGCAGTTTGTGGGTTCGAGCCCCACATAAGGCTCTGTGCTGACAGCTCAGAGCCTGGAGCCTGCTTTGGATTCTGTGTCTCCCTCTCTCTCTGCCCCTCCCCCACTCACACTCTGTCTCTCTCTCTCTCTCTCTCTCTCAAAAATAAACATTAAAAAAAATGAAAAAAATTTAAAAACAAGTAACTAGTCTAAAAGAGAGGCCCTTTATGGTTAATGGCCCTTGAAGAAAGGCCATTTCCTATGAGCTGTGCTTCTGAATTTTGAATAAATACTCCCTTAAATGCAACCCTCAGGAAAGTAGCTTATACACTGATGTTGCCAAATTCTTTTTCTGAAATGGAGTTCATCTGCTACTCTTCAAAATCGGGTACCTGCAACTCTAAGTGATACCTTGATAGGAAACAAAAGTCTGTAGCCATGTTTCTCTGCCAATGTCTTGCCCAGAAAATTATAATTCCCTGAGTTTGAGGCAAAAAAAAAAAAAAAAAATTAGAGACCGAACTAAATGTTCAGAGACCTTCCCCAGAGAGATATAGCCATGGAAAGTATGCTTTGTTTTCTACCCTCGCCTTTACTTCACTAAGCTGTGAGGAGGAGAGGGTGTTACAAAGGAAGATGATTAGGTCCAGAAAGGCAACGGACATCCCTTTGTGGGAGGACTGTGCCAGAGATACGAGTGTTCAAGGTATGCAAACAGAGCAGAGAGCTGGCCGAGGCTCTCAGGGTCAGGAAGTTTGTGGAGTCCGAGGCTCTGAAGACCTTGCTGTGGAATTTCATATTTTCTTAGTATTTCTGACTCAGAGCTAATATCCTCCATAAAAATAAGGAGTGTCTGGATAACCCTTTCTCTCACGTTCCTCATTCTTCCTTCGACCTGGGAATGTTTTCCTGCTGTGGTGGAAATGACAGTGGGAGGAAATGCAGTTTCAGAACCTTCTGACCTCACCTGTATTTAAATTTCTTATCAGTTTAAATGCCAAAAGCACATGTTTCCCTTGTCCCTCCCCTCAGACTCACAGACGTAAATATTAGCGTGGTTTCCTAAGAGGGGAAAATGGCTCAGTGCTTCAGGCAGGCTGTGCCAGGCAGTACAAAGCCAGAGGAACAAGCCCTTTGTGGGCGCAGCAGGGAACGGCCGACGGGTGGGGATGGATGGGATTTCTTGGAAAGGACTGAAAAGTGAAACAATTCAGTTGACTTTAGCCCAAAACAAGTAAATGCTCCCTTTACAAGAAGAAACTGAAGGACGTTCATACCAAGGCTTATGGAGAGAATAAAATATAATTCAGGATTACCGGGGGAAGCCGCACAATGATGCTGAATTTTAGTTTTTCATTTTTCTCTGTATTGTCCAGATCTACAAGAAAGGTAGATTGGCAAATAAAACAAACCTCCACTTTAATATCTGAGCAAGCCAAATACTACTTTAGTGGTTCATTCTGATAACACACATCCCAACCTTGTATTCTCATGTTAAGTCTAACAATACCTTGAAAATTTTAGTTTGTGTCTCTGAATAAAAGGGCTTTGTTTTTATTGAAGCTGTTTCTATATGGCGTGGAACATGGCTGCCAGCCACAGAACAATTTTACTAACTTAAAACAGAAGGCACCTTGAGGAATGGCAAATACTTTAACACACATTAACAAAACTCATCTATAAAATACCACAATGAGTAATTTCAGCAAGTGATTATACTAGGGGCTGTCGAGTGCAAATTCATGTAAGCCCTGCATCTCTTAACTTTTCTTGCATTTCAAGCCTAAGTCTGAGATGACAGAGTTAATCAGCTGAAAGTAAGCCATTTCATGACATTTTCTTGAGAAACAAGCCTTCAGAGTCTCGTATCCTCAAGTGCCCCCGTGTACAGAGAAGGAATGTAATAGCTGTGTGTGGACTGAGAAGCCCTTTGGGGCCTCTTGAAGGTCTAAGGCACTTTAAATGAGCCCAAAGGCTGGTTACAGGAAATGAACAGGACCAACTGCATATTACGTGGAATCCATTGCAAAAGGCCAGTGAGGATCCCCTTGTTCCTCTACTAAGAATTTCAAGATTTAACGCAGAGCATTCAACAGGGCACAGGGCACTCCTGAGTGTAGCAGGGCCCTGTTTGATCCCACAGGGTCACACCCACGAAGCCAGCCTGATGGTGCTCAGCCTGGAGCACTCTGGCAGTGGGGCACTCTGGCAGACTCAGAGCCTCGTACCTTTCATGAGCCTTGTGACAGCTGTTTCCGTGAGAAGCAACACTCCGCTATCAATGTAATGCAGCAGGTTGTGCAAAGGGAGACAGTGGACACCCAGGATCGTGTGCAGAGTGTGAAAACCTAGCAGAGAGATCAGGAGGGTAAACACAGTCGGCCAGCATCCCAGCCTTCCAGAGGAAAGGAATTCGGTGATGTAGATAAAGCGCTTAGCTTGGTCTCTTGGCACCTAGAGTCAAATAAACGCTGCTAGAAGACAAGGTCCAAGTTTCCTTCTTTGTGTTATCACGACCAAGTAGTGCTCTGGGTACATAGTAAGTTCCCAACAAGAATGTACTGCCTTCACCTCATGTCCCTTCCTAGGCAAACAGACAAAATGCAAGGCCTGCCCAATGAAAAATAGTTTTACAGTTTAATAGGTTTGCGATTCTACAGTAAGATGGCAAAAGAGAACAATTAACAAGAATTTCAAACCCCATATGGCCAGGCCAAAAGGCTGATAGATGGGGACCACGTTGTTGAAGAGGAAACATTTTGGACCAGAAGAGGACAGTCTATATGCCTGATCTCTGGGTATGCCCTAAAGAAAGGCTTTGGGGGTCTACTTGAAGTAAATTATAAAAAAGAAAAATGTAAATAATATGGTCAGATAGCATATCTATAAGAATTCAACAGAGAGGATGGCCCACCCTCATACCTAAGTCCTGTGGGGAGGGTTACTCAAACACAGAAACCTAGAGTTCTAAGTACACTGTTAGCAACACACAATAAAAACAGGGGCGCCTGATGGCTCAGTCAATTAAGCGTCTGACTCTTGGTTTCAGCTCAGGTCATGATCTCATGGTTTGTGAGTTCGAGCCCCGCATGGGGCTCTGCGCTGACAGCACTGGAGCCTTTTCAGGATCCTCTCTCTTTCCTGTCTCTGCCTCTCTCAAAATAAATAAATAAACTTTAATAA